CTTCCATTCCCCGCCGTATCGCCACCAAAGAGAGAAGGGGAGAGAAAGAGAGAGAGAGAGAGAGAGAGAGAGAGAGAGAGAGAGAGAGAGAGAGAGAGAGAGAGAGAGAGAGAGAGAGAGAGATGAGGGAGAGAGAATAAGAATGCGCGAGAGATGAAGCCAGTGCGATTTACTCGGCGCGTGCACCTCCTCTCATCCTTGCTCGCTCCCCCCCATCTCTCCCTATCCACTTTTTTCTCATTTTCCTTTCACGCGGTCATTCTCGTCGTGTTCTTCTTTGTGACCCTCCTCTCTCTCCCGACCGCTATGCTATGGTTCGCTCGAGGTTCTTGCACCCCGCGCAGCACCCTTTCCTACCCGTGCCCCCACACCGACACCCCCTCCCCTTTCCTCACATGCTCGTCTCGAGATGAGGTTAAGGCGGATTTCGGATTCCGTCTACGTTGGGTCTCACCTCGCCGAGTCGCTCCCCGTAATCAGGAGCAAAGAGAAGGGCCGCGCAGCGCCCCTTAACGGCATGATAAATTTCCACGGCAGCACTGTGAAAAATATCCTTCCAAATTTACATAATTTGAATTCTTGTTAACAAAATGTTTTACGACGTCCCATTGTAATACATAGTGTATGTAATTTTACAATTTGAATTATAATTTTACAACACAAAGCATGGATAAACTTTCCTGTGACTCTTACAAGAATTTCTCACAGTGCCGCCGCATTTTATTTACGAGGATTTTAAAAAAAGTGAATTGCGCGCTAACAGGAGAATAAAAACACGACGGCGATGAAAGACGCGTGCGATGTTGCGAGGGCTTATGGATGAATGACGAAGAAAATAATCTCCCGGTCACTTGTTGTTCGTGCAGCCCGAGGGGATGTTCAATTAGCAGCTGATTTCGTTAAAAAGTGACAACGGCGCATGGCTTTGAGAAAACGGAGGCCGTGACAAAGGGCGGCCAAAAGAAGCCGTAGCTAGGGCTGAGCGAGGAAGAGAGAAGAGAGAGGCAGATATACAGAGATACAGAGAAGGAGGGGGAGGCAAAGTACAATTTTGTTTCCATTTTTCTTTCTTCATACAAAACAACAAAGATAGCCACGGGCGGCCACGGGCTAGAAATTGATGAAGTCGTCTGGATAGCGAGGGGAGGGGCAGCAACGTTTAAAACGGCCTAGGAACACGGTGAGTGACAGTGGGGCGTGGACGAGACCCCAGCCGCCGCCTTGTAGACTCAGACTCACCGCCGGCGGCACAAGGATAAATTTTCACACAGGGCACAGGGAAATTTTCAATGTCGTACAATTACAATTTGAAACTGTGAAATTAGAAGGCCTATAGGGTATACGTACCGATTGGGAGTCGAAGAACGAGCAAAAGTGGGAGGTTTGTACATGCGTACGACTGACACTCGTTTTGTAAATGGCAAATTACAAAATATGTCGTACACATGTACAAACATATTTTCCATAGTAAGGGGCGGCGACGGGCAAAGAGGTGGGGGAAAGGGGTGGGGGGCGTCTGCTCTGCTCAGGCTGGCTGCCGACGAGCCGACCGACCCAACGTCGTTAACGGATACACGAATCCGGAACATGTCCATAATTTATGGAACTTGGTGCGCGATACGCTATGGCATGGTAGGTGAAGGGCGGGCGGGCGGTCCGGCAGACGCGTGACGTGGCGTCACACTGCAAAACGATTCGGCGTTTCATCCTCCTCTGCCTTTGCCTCTCTCCGCGGCAGAGTAGCAAAACTCGAATAAATTTCGTGCCGCCCCGCTGCCTTGCGTTCATTGTGGAGGCGCGGCCGACTTTGTTTTCTCCATTTCTGTTTAGCAGGGAGATGACTGCCAGATTATACGACGAATCCTCGCAGCCGCCCCCCCGGGAGCCGCCGCCGCTGCCGCCGCCGCCGCCGCCGCCGCCGCCGCCGCCGCCGCCGCCCCGCTCCGCCCCAGCGGGCTTAGAATCGGAATTATATAAAGCAGGCCCTGTTTTGTGCCCTCATAATCCCGTTGACTTGCCTGCTTGTATGTAAAGAAAAGCGCCGCGCGCGCGCGCGCGAGCCAGGGACGTAGGGGAGGAGGGAAAACTAATAAAAATAAAACGCCAAAAGCGAATCCTCGCAAATAAATAGGGCCTCGGGCGCTCAACCAGTGCACAAATGACTGTGTTGTATTTCATGTTGGCCCCCTCTCGCCAGCGCCGCCTCCTGCCCGGTGGATGAATCACAACCGCTGCCCGTTTGTTGTTACGCCACACGGCCGCGGCGAGAGCTTCGCGGGGAAACGCAAAAAAGGCATGTTTGGCTATCACGCTCTGCTGCTGTTCGTTATTCTCAACCGGTTAGACGCCCTAAACCACACCGTTTGTTGACCTAACTTTGATTTTAGGAAAAAACAGGTGTGGCCTCTACTCTCTTTTGCCTTCAAAACGATCCTGGTCGGTTGGTCCGTCATGGTCATGGGGACTCTCATCTATGCTCTGCGGTCGGAGCAGGTGAAACCGCTCTGCAACATTGTTTCCACACCCTACCTTACTTCGTACACAACATCTACAAAACTCTGTCGTTTTTTTTCCGTTTTTCCCCCTTTGATGAAATGGAGAGGAGGGCGTTAGCGAGAAGCAGCCCCCGAGTGTCCGCAACCAACCCTCGCCGACTGACTGGCCCCCGCATCGGAAATCATGTCACGCCGTGTCATACCCCCGATCCTCCGCCCCGCTGCTCCCCTCCTCCCCCCGCGTGAACCCGAGCCCATGGACCCCAGGCCGTCACTGCAGCCTAAGTCAGGCTGCGCTAAGTTGCGCTAAGTCCATGCTAATCCTCTCAGGGGCGCGGCGTGGCGCGGCGTGGCGGGGCGGCGGAGGCTGAGTGGACAGCGGACGGCTCGGGGGGTGAGAGCGGGGGAGGGGCGGCGGCCCTGGGCGCCCGCGGACCAGCAGCGCAGCGGGTAGGTCGGCGCGGGGGTGAGGGTGGTTAGGGGGGTGAAGGGGGCGGGGCCGGGCCAGCCCGCTGCCCGCCAGCCGCCGCCGCGCCACGCCACCGCCAGAGACCGCCAGTGCCAGTGTGAGGCTGACAGTCGCCGCGAGAGGTTGTGTCGCTCGCCCGCTACACCGTCGCGCGCCGCTCCGGCCCTCGCCGGCGCTCGCCGCCGCACCGGCCCGGTTGTGTTTCGTCGTCGTCGTTCTCGTGTTGTGTTGTTGTTGTTGTTGTTGTTGTTGACGATTTCGTCGTCGTCTGCCCGAAGCTGAGATGGGCCAGCCACCGCGCGGGTGTCCGTCCGTTCCGTTGTTGTTCCTTCTGCTGCCGATGTGCGAGTGACCAATTTGTGAATAGTGACGGGGTTGTGCGCTGGTCTGCGTGCGCGAGTGCTTGTGAGTGAGGGGAAGAAGCCTGCCGTCCAGGAAAACGGAAACTGGACATAAATCAGATCCGGAATCGCTGTCTTGTGTGATTGGATACTCGCCACTCTCGTCCGCGCATGACTGCCAGGTGAGATCAGCTGTCGGTGATTTAGTGTATAGTAAAGTGAATAGTAGTGCACGCAAATCTGACAAATCGTGCGGTTCGCCGGCATGACAAACGCCTGACGTTAATCGGTGTGTCTATTTGACAAAAGGAATGGCGCGTGTTCGTAAATTAAAGCCCTCGTGGTTGGCATATGTCGCCCCGTGCGGATTGCTCCAGACACGACAATCGCAACTGTCTGTACATTTCTTACCGACTGTCATAGTAGTTTCGGATGATTCTAGACTCGACTCTCCCGGGGTGGGTAGGAGCGGGTGAAAGGGGGGGTTGAGCGTCCGAAGTGCAATCAGAGGATGAGAAATTGCCGGCGCAACTTTGCGACCGACCTGGGTCGGGCGAATCCAGGCGGGTAGCAGGCGGGGCCGCCGCCGCGGTCGTCGGGACTGACTGCAGGTTGCGCTCGGGGAGGAAGGAGAGCGAGTCTACGTGACTGAGGCCTGATCGTGATTGGTCAACGGCTCCGTCATTCGGCCGCACGCGGCTCCAAGAGGCGGTGCAGTGCGCATTCGACTGCTGTTCTCTTTTCTTTTCCCCGTCGTGGTGTCGGTTGGTTGGTTTCATCGCGTTCGCGATGAAATATGTACCGTCGTTCCGCAGCTACTGTCATTGCTCTCTTATTTTCGCGGGAAAACTCAATGTTGTCCGCATTGGACTATCTTTTAAAGTTCAATACAACATAAGGAGGAATAAACCAAACTTATTAAAGACATCTCTCTTTTTTTCAACTTTACCCTTTCAAAAGATGTCTAAGGGTTTGCCCCGAGGGGTCCCCTACTTCCAAAATAGGTGTACAACGAGTTGCCGAGTTGCCGAGTTGCCGCGAGTATTCCGCGAGTTGGGATCAATTTTTAGAGAGTTTTGCGCGATTTTGGCGCGAGTTTTCGCGGTTTTCAGGCGAGTTTTCGCGAGTTATCGTGAGTTTTTGCGAGTTGTCGCGAGTTGAACGCGAGTTGAACGCGAGTTAGGCGCGAGTTGGGCGCGGCCAAGTGTACAACGAGTTGACGAGTGGGGGACCCCTCGGTTTGCCCCGCCCGAAGCACAAGCACACCCGCTCCGATGCAATGCAGTTGCCAGCGTGTTCAGTGCACTGTGAGAAAAACCTACGGTCTAACAACGGTCTTGGACCGTCAATTATTAACCAATGGCAAACCGTTCTTGGACCGTGCTTGGTACGGTATGATGACAGCGTCTCACCGTTATTTTCACCGTAGGATGTGATTTCTTTAAAAAAGTAAATAGCCACATAGCCAATAGCCACATCCTACGGTGAAAATAACAGTGGGACGCTGTTATCACACCGTACCGTACCATGCTGTCAAATCCACGCTGTTATCTCACCGTAGGTAGACCGTTATTTTTTACAGTGTGTCCTTTTTTCAACGCGCGGCGGGGGCGGTCTGCCTCAGACTTCTTCACCCCCTAGTATCATGTTTTCTCTTTCAATATATTTGGTTTTCCACTCATCGCGTCGCACAAAGCCGGTAATGCGTTGCGGCGATTTCCTCTCGGTCGTACGCATGAATTTCTCATACCGCGCGCCCATTAGCGGGCTAAGCAAGCTCGTCTCTAATGAACAACAGAGGCGCCGCCGGGTGGCCGCGGCCGACCCGAGCCGAGCGTGAAATTTCGACTCACCGCTCGGCGGAGGCCTCCGAATCGCGGCTGTACCCTTTCTGCTTGCGGGGCCGGGGTCTTCCCCCCGCGAGGAGGGAGACTTCGGATGCAGTCGAGTGAGGAGGACGTTGAAGAGCTTTATTGGTTTTGTAACCTCAGAGAGAGAGAGAGAGAGAGAGAGAGAGGGAGAGAGAGAGAGAACCTTGGAGAGAACGGAACTGATCAGGTACTGTACCGTAAATTCAGAGTGCTCCCACTTTTTCACTTGCACTGGATTCCACATTCCACCGTATAATGCCATGGCTCATGGTCTTATTGCCACCCCAGGAATGATGTTAAGTGTGGTACAATACCCCAGAAGGTAGGTCCAGTAAGTTTGTCGACTTCAGTCGGCCTGATTCTTGGTTCGCGGGTACCTCACCTAAGTCACCGCAGAATGACAGTGTGTAAGTGTGGTCCTCCTTGGGCTTGTGATCCACAATGCGTTCGTCCGTGGACCGCCGCGAAGGCCGAGAGGTCTTCGGAGACCTCGGCGTTAACGTCATGATTTCATGACCCTGACCATGATCACAACGACTCAGGCTCCCACGCCGACCGCCACTGCCAGCACACAGTGTGTAAAAAGTACTGTAGGCAAGAACGGTAGGCCCACGGCCCCTACTGCTACGTACATATTTATTATTGTTTAGTATTTATGTTTTAAGGTATCGTCAACTACAAAGGGTGCTATCGGGACTATCGGTTTTGTCACGGAGTTGCTGCCACTCTCTCGCCGCGTGCCTCTCTGCGCTTCACTTCTCACATGAGGAGGTGCTATGGCGTCGAGGGTTGTGGGGAGGGGGAAGGGGGGGGGGGTTCTACCCTGCGTCTTTTCGGTGGCAGTGATGCGGCACGTGCTAGCGGCCCTCTTGGGAGTCGGTACCTGTTGTGAAGACATGCGGCAGTGTGGCAGTGTGGGGGGCGGCGGGGGCGGCGGGGGTGGTGGTGTTGAGAGTACCAGATTCCGCGTTACTGTCGCATCATCCCTTACCCACTCCCTGCTCAGCACCCCTCGCCCACCCCCACCCTCGCGCGCCTTATTCTGCATCCAAAATTTTGCTCCGCATCGGTCCGAGTCAGTCTCTTTCTCTCTCTCTCGCCGAGTTTGTGGGACATAACAGGCTTTGGGGAGCAGGGGGAAAAAGAGGGGTGGGTGGTGGGAAAGGCAGACCAACCATATTATTATTCAGCCCTTGCAGAATTTTCAGTCCGGCTGAAACTTCGACATCCTTGGAATGACGGTGCCGTCGGATTTCTGTTGGTGGGGCCAGTAGCGGCAGTAGTAGTCCGATGGGGGGCGGGGCGAGGGGGTGGGGGTGGACGACACCCGGCGCATGCAGCACAGCAACTGCCGGGTTGAGGGGGAGGCGAGGGTCTCTCTGGGTTGAGGAGTAGAGCGCAGAAAGCAGCAAGATACTCTGCCCGACCAGACCTCGGCGCACTGGTACGCGCCATGGAAATAATGTTTCAACTCACCTTGCTTGCTCTCTCTTCCCCCTGACAGTCAGACACCTGATTGCCCTCTCCCCCATTCCCCCCCCCCCCCCTTTCCCTTTTCCTCTCCGCACAAGACGCTCCGCGCGCGCGCGGCGCCTCCCGCGGCTTCTCTCCTGACGAGCCGAGATAAATTTCAATCGAATTGGGTCATGTCAGAAACTCCACCGGTCCGGACATAATAATTCATAGTGGTGCGGTGAGAGAGGGGAGGAAATGAGAGAGGGAGAGGGAGAGCGAGAGCGAGAGCGAAGAGAAAGACTGGGCATGGATGCGCACTGAACCCCACAGTAGTAGTTGGGGATGGCGCCGGAGCGAAATTAGAAAGGGAAAGGGAAGGAAGGACGCCTGTTTGACACACCTTCCTGTTTCGTATCGGAATCCTTTCGCCGCTATGGACTGATGGGTTTGCCTGCGCTCTACTGCATACTCGCGCAGCGGGTAATTCGGGGAATGCGTTAGGGGGGGGGGGAGTAGTTTATCCCCCTGCGTATTAACCTCCGCCCCCCCCCCTCTTAACCCCCCACACACGGGGCGTTGCTGTGGTCTTATCACACATCAACCCCCTTCTGCCTTATCTG